CGCCGAAGGATTACCCCCCCCCCTAGAGATGATTATATTCTCCGTTATTACTCGGTAGAACGTTTGTTATCGCGAGAAATGAATACGTTGCTCAATACTTTATATATTTAATTTTTATTTAGAAATATATATATATATATATATTTTTAGAAAAATTATTTAACGAATTAGTATTATTATTTGATATGAATAAAAATCATGGAATAAATTGAAATAACAGTCTGTTTTATTACGATTTAATTTTATTACGATCTTAAAGTTTGTTTCTATTTAATTATTAATTTGTTACGTGATATTTTACATCGTGTGTACAGATATAGTTCAACTTCGTGAAACCATGCAAACAAAAAAAAAAAAAAAAAAAAAGAAGTGACATTTAGTAAATACATTTATATTCGATCAATTTCACTGGACGTTACGTAATTCCCAGCTTGTATGTATTTTATACGAGAATCGATAAAATTCTCGAATAAATGAAAAAGATTAGAATCGATTATTTTTAATAATACGTCCATTCGATTGTTAACTTTTACAGTTATTATGTTTGCTACAATTGTAAAAAATGAAAATGTGTCATTTGAAATTTTAATGAATATATGCAAAAGTGTCATTGCTATATGTAAATTTCAGGTCAACGTTTTGAATTTCTTTTCTTTATATAATAAGAAGCGTTGAGAACAATTATATTGTTCTCAACGCGTCAAATTAAATTTTCAAACTGTTCGTTGCTTCTATAAGGATACATAAACAAGGTGAAAAAATTGATTGAATAATTCCTTAATCTTGAAATTAAATCTCTCAATTTTTTCCTCTTTATTCGTCGATAATTTGCATCGATAATTTTGTTGCTGTTCGTACAATCTATCGTGCCCCACACACGCACGATGCTCGACGGCCATGATAGTAGAATCTGTTATAGTAGAATTCGTTCAGGGTCGATGGAAAAAAATGTGCTTACACACTTGCAGTCACGCTTCGCTGTACGCTCGACATTTTGTACACGCGACGTGACTATTTGTTGCCAGGATTCGCCTCGAGATTATACTTTACTCGAGTTGTTTCGTCCGCCAGTTTTGTCTCTCGTGTGTAATGCGTAGAAGTTATGTGTTGGCTGCGTATTACATTGCGAAACAGTATATTACACTATACATCAAGAGCCACGAGGCGGATGTTTTGCTGTAGTTCTTAAACAGCTGCTAAATTTGTATCACTTTTTTTTTTGCTCGAAGAAAAAAATAGATACATTTTATGAAAAATTTATGAAAGTTTTTTTTTTTTTGTTGAACGATTTCGAAAAAAGTGTTCTGAAATTATTAAATATCTTTAAACGATGGTTTTGTTTTAATCTAATATTTTATAACGAATATCAAAATATTAATTAATATCAATATGTTATTTTATTTCTGAATAGGATAGATAAATTTATAATAGATAATAGTTTATAATAGATAATTTATAATAGATAAATATTTAAACGATAGTTTTACATAATATTTTATAACGAGAACGAATATCAAAATATTAATTAATATCAAAATGTTATTTTATTTCTGAATGCTAATGGGATAGATAAATTTATAATAGATAATTTATAATAAATAAATCTTTTAACAATAGTTTTGTTTTACATAATATTTATATATATATATAAATATTATAATATTTTATAATAGAGAATATCAAAATATCAATTAGTATCAATATGTTATTTTATTTCTGAATGCTATGCTAATAGGATAAATAAATTTTTTCTGACATGTAGAACCACAATATTAATGATCTATCTATAACTCAAGTCCGCTTTTTTATGGTATTTAATATTCCTTTCACTTATCTTCAAATCAAACATCTACATCAAAGTATGAAGTATATCTTGTTGCACATAAACTAGACAAGGTGATAAAATATTCTTAATTCATTATAATATTTATTTCTGTAAAAAGAAAAAAAATTCTACAAAAAAATTTCAAATAAAGTTGTAGATTAAAAAAAAAAAAAAATAAATAAACTAGATGT